ACTTTGTAGCAGGCAAGAAACACTGGGCCAGATCAGTGCTGCGTCTCATGCACTTTGTAGCAGGCTAGACGTACCGGGCCGTGAATTATGTGGACTCGAGTCATATTAAGTATTAATAATTGTGCCAGTGTGCCGTGTGAACCAAAATGAAAACATGGCATGACATTGACATCGCAAGCATGGAATGCCTAGCCCGGTGTGCGAACAAATATTATTGAGCATTCGCGCATGTGCCCTGAGAATCTTAATGAACTGCCTAACCTGCAGGATGAATCGTACGTTCGATCTGGGCCCGAGGGCCTAGGTCATTGTTTGTATATTGTGTTGTTTACCTGTCAGGAGATTGCATGTTAGCCTAGCCTAGGTTTAGGGGTTATACTCGCTGAGATTCGTCTCACGGTTGTTATAACCCAACATTTCAGACCCCCAATCGTAGAATGCCGAGGACACCACCTCTTTTTGGGATACCGCATCACATTCAGCGGTCGTCGAACGTGCACTCCTGTGGAGACGGAACAGCTTATGTGAGATATTACTCTGTACTATTTACTAATGTGGGAGAGTTGTACTACCATACCCAAGAATATGTGGCTTGGTGCTACAGAGGAACCGACGGAGTAATCGGACCCCCGCTCAGAACCTTCGATGTCCCGGTGGACGTGGATGATGTCATGATCCCGCAGATGGTAAGTGGTGAGATTTCAAATCCTCCAACCCCGCCCGATTGGAGCAGCCAGGGCGAGACCGTGGACGGACCTGCTGCCATGATCGAGGAGATTGAAGAGCCCGAAGTTCTGTATGCTGATCCGGAACCCTTAGACCATCAAGACGAGATCGAGCCGGAGCCGATGGAATTAGACCCGGAGCAAGATGGAGAAGTGGCGGAGATAGGATCTGATGAGGAGATAGGAACCGAGGATGAGAGAGTAGCCGCAGCAGATATGGAGTCAGAGGAGCAGTCGGATGAATCCTCGGAATCCTCAGATCCTGACTGGAATCCCTAAGAGCACCCTGAGCCACAGCTAGCAGTGGAGGACATGTGACTTTTTGACTATAGTCCTCCTTAAGTAGTCGACCTCACCCTAGCCACTTACCCTTTTGACCCAGTGGCTGTTGACTGTTTGTACTGCTTGCTTTTGTTGTTCGATAAGTATTGTAAAAAGGTTTTCTATAGTAATGTAAGTACGTACATATTTTCTGCTGTGATCGTGTTTATTGCTTGGCTATCTTTGGTTCGTATTTTATAATTGTCAGGGTTGTTTATTTATTCTTCCGCTTGTGCTTTACTCTCTGTTTGGGCGTTGGGTCGGCGACGCTTCCTGGGAGTGTTGCACCATAATCGACCAAGGTAGGGATGTTAGCGCTTCGTGGGGTACGGGGCGTGACAATTACCATATAATGTGTTATTTCGAACGGAGGCGTCGGGCCAGTGTTAGAACCGTAACGCTTGTCCCCCCGGCCTCTTTCTAGATTACTCGGCTTTATGCTATCTGAGATTGCACGAAAAACTCTAATTAATTTTAATGTACGTACGACGTATAAATGAGAAGTTTGCACAGGTTAGTCAATCAAGTATTAGGTTTTCGGGGGAGAGAATGGATCACATAAGAGTCCTAAATTCTAGAACAGAGCCTCCACATTCTAATCAGTGATGCAACTTTTCTTTGGACCTCATGAGAAGACATCATGAGCCAATTTGCTATTAAACTAGGTTTATCCCACGACAAGAATAGGGGATTCGCAAGGAATACCTTCTTTGTGGCCTAGCTTGAAAATAAAAATGCATCGGGTAGGAACCGAACCGAACCTCGAAACCCAGATTTCTCAATGTGGAAGATCCTAATTATTTTACCACTCGATCAAGCCTTTATAGCTCCGCCTAGGGCAACATAGCAGCTCGACAAGAAAAGATTGTCAATGAAGAACGAAGAGTAAAGCTCGACAAATAAACCATGATGGATTACTAATTAGGTGTGTTTGGAAAGCTTAAGTCCAAGCGTCTGGTTCAGACTAATTAGATATGTTTGGAAAGCTCTAGATGAGTGCGACCCAATTTTACCCTTTGATTGAACTTTTAATAAAGTAATATTTCGATCAATATTGGTCAAACCTTAAGTAGAAAATTAGATGTCTATAGCTACCCCTCTTCGTGGTAATGCTCGATGACAGTTTCACCAGAAAGAAGTTTCCTAATTTAGGGCCAAATATCATGAGAGTTTCAATATTGTGGCCTCACATCTCGTTCTGATATATAAACTCAATGCAAGGCCAATGTACATATATGCCGTCACTATCTAATGGATTAGGTTGTTGCTTGAAAACCTCTTAACACCTACAAAACGTTCCAGTCATTACCACCTCATCCAACAAATCATGTGAGCTAAATTCACATTAATCGAGTGCAGGCAATACCAGTATCACATGAATTGGTCAATGTCATTTAAGTCATTGGGTTGATCTGGTTATGTGTTACAAATCATGAGAAAATCTGAACCGCAAGACTCGGTTTGTGGACGTGAGTTTAGGCATCAAACTCAAACGTAGGTTTTTTCCTCTTATTCATTCTTTAAAAGCAAAAGTCAATCGGTTTTGATGGTTGACTTCATGCAATTGCGAGCACCATGTTGCTGGGGCAGGATGCGCTTGTGGACAGAATTCGAGCCCTATTTGATAAAGAAAAACCTTTAAAAACAACTCATTAATATGAGATCCACAAGGTCACACGAACACGTTCTGTAGCTTTCTGTTTGACTTATCGCATTCTAAAACTGGAGAATATCACAGTACTCTTAAGGTTGCTGCAATGTCTCTGACCTGTCAATGTACCTATTAGTCAACATTAAACCCTTAAAATATTTCTTACGTTATTTCTTAATGGGAAGTCAAAAACCAAGACAAGAAAAACTCAACACACGAGTTCGTGTTCAAACCTCGACGTGCTTCTGTACCGGTTTTGAATATTTATGATTATTTTCAGAACCTTCTTCATCATTTTCGTTTTCATTTCTCTGTGGAAATCAGAAACTGCATTGAACATGCAGTCGGTGGCTTCATGGAGAATAGCTGGCATTCTCCTATACATCCACAATTTACGCTGCTTGTCGAAGTCTCATTTGTTTCAAATCGCAACTGATTTGCATGGCCAAAGAGTCTTGGTTTGATTAATTACATCCATTAACTTTTTTTTTTGGAGCTAACTCCAGAGAATCAATATAAGTTTTGACTGAGACCGTCAAAGAAAGTACCTAAAATTAGATATTTGTGTTTAATGCAAGAATATTTCAATTTTAAAATCTTTTTCGCCAGACATTTTTTTTAAGTTAGGTAGTGTCTTGGGTTAATTTTTGTGCACAACACTAATGATAATTCGATTTATTAGGCTTGAAGCTCTCCAAGAAGTATTTCTGGCATTTCCATGAAAAATGGAAATTACTATTTATAATTTGGGGTGTTTAGCATTAAATAAAAATGCATATTGTAAATTGCTATAAGTACTAAAATATAATCCTAAAAGTTAAAACCAAAATCGATTGTAATATGCACTAAAGAACCTCTTGGGTCTGATGGAAGGCAGGCCATACATATTCGGAGAATAATGGTTGTGCAAGGAATTGCTTTCATGTGGTGTAATTCAAGAGACTGCACCGGTTTTGAATCATAATTTGAAAATGCATGCTTCTTGAGATACAAAGTCCCAAGCATTTAAATGTTTTATTTGGATCAATACAAAAATAAAGGAACTTCTTCGATTAAAAGTAGATTGATCAATGCTTGGAGAAGGTCTTAATTTGCAATAACCTCATGGTGTCTTTAAATAAATTTTGGGCCTGTTTGATAACCCAATTAAGTGCTGAAATGAAAAAATTCAGCCTTAGTGAGATTAAGTTTTTTTAGATAACTACAACTAACATTTAGTTAAAAGATTCAATTAAGTCCAAAAATCACTATATTAAGTAAGAAAGGAAGGGGTTACTAAATTCATTTAGTAGAAAAAGTAATTGATGCCAATTAGAATCTTGACAATCATGTTGCTAAAACCTTCCAATAATAGTAAAAATTCCATGCATGGTAAGAAACTAATAATATTCGATGATCATCTTGCCTCACGGATGAGGAGTGCCGGGAGGTGTTAGTTCGATCCCACCTTTGAGTGCCGAGTTTGAATCCTCTCGCACGTACCTAGTTCGGACTTAGCTGGTGCTAGGAGTGGGCAATTGTGGATCGAGAATTCAATGTTAGGGGCCGAGACACAATTTTTATAAAGCTTTTCAAACTTTCGTCCCTAAAATTACAGGAAATTTTTTGCCACCACCAGCCCCTAGGTCCTCCCATATGGGTGGATACATCCTGATTTCCCGTGAGGGGTTTACTAGCCCAAAACCGACGTAAGCAAGGATTTCCCCCTCACATTATTGAAGGTGTATACGTCCGTATGCAGTATACATAAATATAACCAAGGGGAAAGTCCAACACCATGTTCCGCCAATGTGATTATGCAATAGTATTAGCAAGGAACGTGTGTCTTAAATCAATTTCCTGGAATTAGTATTTCGCTAATTTGATGAACTTCATCACTTCCCTTTCGCAGATTTGATGTTCAACTTGTTTTATACATGGCACTGAAAGTCAAGGTTGACCTAATTGTCAAACAAAGGGGCGTGTCATTTTGTAGGTACAATAACGCATAAGATCATTCTTCATCCAAACCTGTGAGTTTGGTTTTCTTGGTTAGTTTATTAAAAGCCTAACTCCGCTTACTTTTGAGCTTCTTTGGCCATTAGAAAATTAGACCACATTCCACTCCACCTAATCAACGATGTATTGTCTTATCGAATGAGCCATGCATTGTCTTCACTCAGCATGAATGATCTCTCTTGTATAAATATACCCATTGTGTTTCCATTCCTCTCCATCAATAACATCTCTCTCTCTCTCTCTCTCTCTCTCTCTCTCTCTCTCTCTCTCTCTCTCTCTCTCTCTCTCTCTCTCTCTCTCTCTCTCTCTCTCTCTCTCTCTCTCTCTCTCTCTCTCTCTCTCTCTCTCTCTCTCAGGAACACACAAAAGATGAAGTATTTTAGGAAATTATTTCTCATGGTATTGCTCATTGCACTAGTGGCATACAATGCTGCATCTACATTATTCGAATCATCTTCACAAGAAGGAGGCTCGTACCTTAATTATGGGGAAGAAGATGATGTTTCGGGCGAGACACACGATTCGTCCTCCCTCGAAACCCTGGACCCAGCGACTTCTCTCCGAGGCACAGGCCGGTTCCTCGCGCAGGCCACTAGCTCGAGGGCCGCGTTGACGTGCAACAAATACCCGAGGATCTGCCGGGCCAAGGGAAGCCCCGGACCAGACTGTTGCAAAAAGAAGTGTGTGAACGTGAGCACCGATAGGCTGAACTGCGGGATGTGCGGGCACAAATGCAAGTACTCGGAGATATGTTGCAAAGGTCAGTGTGTGAGCCCCATGTTTGACAAGAAGCATTGTGGGGGTTGTAACAACAAGTGCAAGAGGAAGGGATCTTCTTGTGTTTATGGGATGTGTAGCTATGCATGAATATGAAGGGGTGTGAAGATTTGGAGTCAAAGGGTCTGAAGCAAATTGTGCAGTTATCATCGTATTAAGCGAATTTGTTGGTAACTGGGTACATTTGTAGATGAGGTAATATGTAGAAAGTCTTGATTTGTTTTTATGTGACTAAAGGAAATGAAGGCAAGGCCAGCAACATCGCGGTTGATTGGACTTTGCCCCCAATATTGTAATTGTTCAAGCTAGTTTAAATGTAATAAGAGTGGTATTATCATTTTTTTAGTGATCGGGATTAAGGTAGGGCACAAGACCGATCTCCAGTTCAAGTGTTTTAAGAGAGTTATTGCAAATCTTGGGCACATATTATGTGATTGATGCCATCTCTTCAAAGGAGAAGGTATTAAGTGACTATCATATATCATTATATCCAAAATAGAATACTTATATGTCAACGTTACGTACTTTATCAGTATGACCTATAGTTTCCTTTATGCCTCTCCAACAAGGACCTTAACGGTGATTACATGATGGAGGGTTGTTCTAGGATTGCTTTGCTATCGACAACCCTCATTCAATGGCGGTGACACCTCCCCAGATACAGAGCGGATCTCATCACTCACATCAAGAAGAGCACTGTCTAGATCTCGGCAGTGAGATCTCAAAGCGTGAGATCTCAGAGAGAGAGAGAGAGAGAGAGAGAGAGAGAGAGAGAGAGAGAGAGAGAGAGAGAGAGAGAGAGAGAGAGAGAGAGAGAGAGAGAGAGAGAGAGGGAGGGGACAATGGTGGTAGTGACGACTGCAACGGGCATGTCTGAACGACATGCTGAACAATGAGACAGTGGTGGGGAGTGACTGGCAACTTGGTCCGATCAAATTTTGTCTCGATTATCAATTTTCTCCAATATATGGTGATTCCAAGACTACAAATCGTGTCGACTTTCCTCTCTAAATTGAAAAGACTGCAACAAAACTAAAAAAACTTGGGACTGTAGGCCAGTCTTGCTCACATGCCAACAAAATTCAGTATTATATTGTCTTTAAGTTCGGAGCAGACATAGAAGTTGTTCTGTATTCTCTTAGCGTATATATTATCCTTTTGAAGTCCCTCTTGTCAAATTTGACAACGCTCATTGTTTTGGCCTGATTAGGGTTTTTCTTCTTTCTTTTTCGGCCTGAAATGGTCGGTGCTTGTTCTCCTGAAAAGCTTGGATCAACAAAGAAATTGATTGGAGAAGAGCACTTTATTTGGGCCTTTGCTCAAAGCCTTCATCTGGCAGTTCTATAACTCCGGCTGAGCAAGCATATCAATCTGAAGCAAACACAAGACCATACACAATGCACCCACAGGCCCAACCTGACAATAGTAAAAATTCCACTTGGTAAAAAACTAATGATATTCGATGATCATCTTGCCTCACGGATGAGGAGTGCCAGGAGGTGTTAGTTCGATCCCACCTTTGAGTGCCGAGTTTGAATCTTCTCGCACGCACTTAGTTCGGACTTAGCTGGTGCTAGGGGTGGGCAATAGTGGATCGAGATTTCAAGATTAGGGCCTGACGTATAGTTTTTGAAAAATTTATCCTTAAAATTATAGGAAAATTTTTTGACCTGGGGGAGCAAGGGCCACCCCGGCCGCATAGGTCCGCCCATATGGGTGGGGAACCTCCTGATGTCCCATGAGGGGTTTACTAGCCCATGATTTGCATAAGCAAGAATGGCCTCTCACATTAATAAAAGAACTCTAATTTATAGATAGTGTTGTTCTATCGTGAGAAAGCACAAGATACCAAGACCATAAATTACTTTGCTCAATTGATGTATATATATGTGTGTATGGGTCCTGAGTATGGCCTAAAACTGTTTTATCTGAACTCTATGACGTTAAACTTCTGGGGGTATTCCCTAGGGTGAGAGAAGAAAAACTATCTCCTAATGAGGGGGGCAGGGCATGCGGGCACCGGCACGTTAAAATAAGGAATGGATTTGTGCAACCTGCCATCAGCATGCTAGCGGACAGGCGGCAGAAACCCTGTCAGCCTCTCTTTCGCAAATATCATGTTCAACCTGATTTACACATCGCATTGAAAGTCAAGGTTGACCTAATCGTCATACAAAGGGGGCGTGTCATTTTGTAGATATAGATATCGTACAAGATTGTTCTTCGTTCAAACTTGTGAGTTTGGTTTTCTTGTTTAGTTTATCAAAAGCCTAACAAAGCTTACTTTTGAGCTTGTTTGGCCATTGAAAATTTAGACAACATTCCCCTCCACCTCATCGACGATGTATCGTCTTATCGAACGAGCCATTCATTGTCCTCACTCACCGAGAATGATCTCTCTTGTACAAATATCCCCATTGTGTTTCATTCCTCTCCATCAATACCATCTCTCTCTCTCTCTCTCTCTCTCTCTCTCTCTCTCTCTCTCTCTCTCTCTCTCTCTCTCTCTCTCTCTCTCTCTCTCTCTCTCTCTCTCTCTCAAGAACACACAAAAGATGAAGTATCTAAGGGAATTATTTCTCATGGTATTGCTCATTGCAATTGTGGCATTCGATGCTTCATCTGCATTATCATCATCTTCACAAGGAGGCTCTTACATTAATTATGAGGATGACAGAAAATGTAAAATGTAGAGATTGGAAAATTGTTTTCTTGTATTCCATCTTCTGTACATGTACATACTGATATTTATAATACAAAAGGGAATCAAAGAAAGAATAATCATGATACAATTTCCTATAATATCTCGATTGACTAAATCAATTAGTCCTCAGTCTATGTAATTAGAATCGGAATCTCGAGACAAATCATATATTTCTCCAACACTCCCCCTCAAGCTGGCGGCTTATATATATCAAAGACGCCAAGCTTGCTTAATAGATATGCATGTTGTCTCTTGCACAAAGGCTTAGTGAATATGTCGGCAGGCTGCTCTTCAGTTCCAATTCCTCAAGTTGCAACAATTCCTTCTTGAATTTTTTCTCGAGTGAAATGACAATCAACTTCTATATGTTTAGTCCTTTCATGAAAAACTGAATTTGCTGCTAATTTGAGAGCTGCATCATTATCACAAAACAGTTCACTTGCTCCATCAATTTGTACTCCAAGATCCAACAGTAGACCTCGTATCCAAACTATCTCACAAATAGTCTTTGCCATAGCTCGGTATTCTGATTCAGCTGATGATAAAGAAACAGTCGATTGTTTCTTTGTTTTCCATGAGATTAGAGATCTTCCTAATTTGATGCAAAAACCTGTGATAGATCTTCTGGTCATTGGGCAAGTCGCATAATCTGTATCGCAATAAGCCACCATTTTCATGTTGCAATCACGAGATAATAGGATTCCAAGTCCTGGGCATCCTTTCAAGTACTTTACGACTTTTAGTGCTGCATTCATGTGAGACTGCTTTGGATTATGCATAAATTGGCTGAGTATCTGTACTGCATAACATATATCAGGCCTCGTCATAGTGAGATAAATCAGCTTTCCCACAAGTCGCTGATATCCTGATGGATCCCTAAGCAATGGGTCTTCATTAGGTGATGATGAACTCTTATCATATTCAAGCGTTGTGAGCTTGATATTTTGTTCAACGGGAATAGTGGCCGGTTTACTTCCTGATAATCCTGCTTCTGAAATGATTTCCAAGATAAATTTTCGCTGACTAAGACATATTCCCTTCTCGGATCTGGCTATCTCAATACCAAGAAAATATTTGGGAGGTCCCAAATCTTTGATATGGAAGGTAGAGCGTAAATAATCCTTGAATTTTCTAACAGCAGAATCATCATTTCCCATAATGAGTATATCATCAACGTATATCAACAAATAAATTGATGAAGTACCTTTGGTCCATGTGAATAAGGCATAATCATGCTTGGAATGCTTGAAACCCGCATTTGTAAGTGCAGTGGTAAATTTGGCGTACCACTGTCGAGAAGCCTGTTTGAGTCCATACAGGGATTTACGAAGACGACATACCTGAGACTCCCCCTGTCTACGTAAACCCTGTGGAAGTTCCATGTATATTTCTTCATCCAGATCACCATGAAGAAAAGCATTATGGACATCCATCTGATGTAATTCCCAATTACGGAATGCAGCAACTGATAAGAAGGAACGGACAGTTACCTCTTTTGCAACTGGAGAAAAGGTTTCATGATAATCAAAACCTTCTCGTTGCGTAAATCCTTTAGCAACTAGCCGAGCCTTGTAGCGTTCAATTGAACCATCTGCCTTGTATTTGATTTTATATATCCATTTGCAGCCAATCGACTTTCTATGTGAAGGCAGGGGAACGATGTCCCAAGTATGATTATCCATTAAAGCTCTCAACTCGGCTTCCATGGCCTGTTGCCATTGTGGATTACATATTGCTTCTTCATAAGATGAAGGTTCCTGTTCCTCAGATATACGACTAATACAGCACATGTGCTCTTCCGACAGTCGATTAAAAGAGACATAAGAAGATATAGGATATTGTGTACCTGGTGAGTCCAGCGTGGAGCATATGTAATCTTTTGTCCATGTAGGTGGACGAACTTGACGTCTAGAACGTCGGGGTGGTTCTGCAATGTTCTGTTCTGATGGAGATGGTTGATCAATATGCTGCTGTGGAGATGGAATTGATAAATTATTCTCCTCGTTGTATGGTACGAATGAATCTTCTGTCTGATTTGAGTATTTAGGAGCTGCTGTTGTTTGATCCGAGGAGACAAAAAAATATGGAGAAGTTATAGACAAGTCTTCTTCTGATAGGAATTGATGACGCTTTGATTCTGATATATCTGTTTGAGAAGAATATATCGATTCCTGGAATGGGAATATATCTTCATGAAAAATAACGTCTCTGCTAATAAAAAACTTGCCTGTAGATATTTCCATAATCCTGTAACCTTTTTGGAGGAGAGAATATCCCAAGAATACACATCGTAAGGCACGAGGATCCATTTTGTCTCGAGGACCCACATTTGTTGCATAACATAAGCAGCCAAAAACTCTCAAATGTCCAATTTCTGGTTGTTTGCCGAAAAGCATTTCAAAAGGAGATCGACCTTCAAGAATTCTAGTTGGCATGCGATTAATCAAATAAGCCGCCGTGACCACACAATCTCCCCAAAAAGTCTCAGGGATAGAGGCTTGGTATTTGAGAGCTCGAGCTACCTCTAAGAGATGACGATGTTTTCGCTCTACGACCCCATTTTGTTGAGGAGTATAAGTGCAAGAGGTTTCATGAATTATCCCATGAGAAGCTAGGAAAGATTTGCATTCTGTAGTGAAAAACTCGCGTCCATTGTC